ATCCCTTTTTGGGTGTGTGTTGATTTATTTTTGGGCTTCATTGCAAGGATGTCAATAATTTGGTGCCTTGTATTTGCATGAAAATATCACATTCAGGCAATAGCAATTAACGTGTTCTGAATATGAATGCCACGTGTACCTTGAATTATAGAGCTGAAAGTACTTTGTGCCGCCCGGTTCTAGATTTCTGTGCTAACAGGAAAAGCTTTTTTAAAGTCTGTGATATCAGTGGCTCACATAATTGTAAATGCGAAGTGATGTGTGTATTTCTTAATTTTCAGGGATCTACTTCAGACATTAACTGAGGATGAACTGCACACGCTGGAACGTAACCTCTGCATCTCTCAAGATGTGGATTTTCCTGTCAGAGCAGATCCTGAAATACGCTCTGTCATTACACCAGGCATAACTGAGACCTTGCCTGCTAAGGAGCTTTCAGCAAAAGCTGAAAACACAGAGGCTGAGCTGGCTTGTTCTATGCAGTATGATGAACAGGAGCTGGAACAGCTGAATAGGATGGTGCACAGAGTTGGAGATGAAATGTCTTCTCTGCTTTCCCCTCCAAGCATCTGTCAGTCTCCAGCTCACAGACCTAGCCTAAGAAATAGTTCTAGCACAGAAGCCTCACCAACAAGACAGCATCTTGACAATTTAACTGATGAAGAGGATAGAGTGTTTTTTATGGATGACCTAGATGGAGCCGGAGAAGCTCTTGCTGGGTTGGATTCAGTAAGTGATACTTTTGCTTGGGTGAATAACCCTTGCCACGATTCAAAACAGAACCTGCAATATAGAGACGCTTTGTTGTATGAGAACGGCCATCAGACAGAGGAAATTTTGCTTTTAAAAGATGCTGAAAGTGACTTAAGCAATAATAACAACATTGAAGATAGCAAACAGATGTCTGGCATTTCAGTTCAGAATTCATGCAGCTGTCTAGAAGGTCCGGACTCACAGTTATACCTCAATGGCTGGGATGCATACGCTGATGATGCAGAAACAGCAGAAGTGATAGCTCACAGGACAGGGGGAATGAAAATATCTGCTACTGTGATATTCAATCCTAAATCTCCCTCTAGCTCAGAATCCCCAGTAACAACTCCAGAAGCAGCTATTAGTTGTGTTCCCGGATCTGCTAATCCATTAGCAAATGAGGAGGAGGATGAATCCCATAAACTCAGTATAGCTGCCACAAACTGTCTAATTAATTCCTGTGTGTGTTGTGGCAGCTGTGAAGACAGCAGGGAGGATGGTGTTGAGGGTTTAAAGACTAAACATTCTGCAGGAGGTGTTGTAAATGCTTCATACACATTAGTAAAGTCTAAGGAAATGGACCATGTAGATAACTTGGACAATACAGTCCCTGCACAGGAAACATTAAAACCTGAAACTTCTGCGTTGTTAGCAGAAGGAGGCTTTGGCAGAGAAGAGCAAAAACTGCCAATCTCCTCTAAGTGCCTGGCACATTCCTCAGGTTCACAGGTAGGAACAGAAAATGACTCACAAGGAGAAGCAGAAAGCATCTCAAATCAGCAAAAGAAGTGGGAGAAGAGAAAACAACTATGTGAGAAAAAAATGGACAACAGTGAAGATGCTAGTAGTGAAAGGACAGCAAAGGAAGATGTCAAGTCAAGATCTAGTTCAAGGTAAGAGCAACTTGATGTTTTGGTGGTAATTTGCATGCAAATCAATTCCCATATCCTTGTTCTTTAGTGTTTGGTGTATTATTAATGTTGAGTTTAAAGAAAGTAGTGTGCTGCAGGATTCAGGATTTTTTTCAATGTACTTTTTTTTTAATTAAAGTAGCTTTTTATTGGATTCCATCAGCTTTTTGGGAAAATGTTTGGAGAACACTGGAATTTTCATCCTATAATGTCCCTATATCATTGAAATAAAGTACACTAATCTCACCAGTTTAATGTAACAAAGAGTGCATTGCTGCTAAACATTACCTGGGTCATTATCTCTGTTGTACTCTCATGTTTTGCAGGAAAAGTGTGTTTGGCAGATACTAAAAAAAGTTAACTTCTATGTCAGTGCACAGGATTAGACTGGGATGTAAACGCATCTTAACTTAGCTTCATTTGAGAGAACGGGGTTGATCTGATCATGTTGCCTGTGGGCATGAGTGTCTTTGTGAATGTCTGTGTGCTGAAGGAGCCTAATAGAATGTAGAAGCAGCTTTTAAACCTATTGGACCATTCCAACCAAAACTGATAGAAGAATAGAGGTCATGGATTAAGGTTCTATATATTTAATGACAATAAGGAACTAGATAGCAGTGAGAGACCACAATAATAGTTGTGTTAAAGAAAATGCCATGCTTCAGCTCAACTTTGATTAGGCAGTAGGAGTCTTACACACATCAATAGGAAACCAGACTTCATTTTGTTTTACTGTTTAGAGGTTACCCTGTTTTGTAGTGAGTAATGTCTTCAGTTCCTCTGAAGTATTAATATCATGAAGCAGAGGGAAGAAATTAAATAGAAGTTATTGTTTTCTGTATGTCTGTGGCAGCTTTCTTTCTTTCTTTCTGCCTGTGTCAGTACTGCGGAGATCATGTGCGTGATGCCGGATCTCTCTTTTTGTTATGTGTACAGAGTTCACCATGAGGGTAGCTTGAACCATGAAGCATTACCACAGTAAAAAGGCTACAGAAATAAACATTTGTTTAATAGCATACCAATTGGATTATAAAATATTTTATTGGTAGTGGAAATAGAACCAAGAGTTCTTTACTCTGGACTTAATTTTTCTTGCAGGTAGAACACAACTTAGTGTGCACAAAACTTGAGGTAATTTTATGTTCCTCGTTATTCTAAGTATTTTGCAGTCTTAGGCTTGTAAGTATGATCGTATTGAAGGCCTTACAATAGGGTTTCTGAATGAACTTCATTTTCAGAAGTAATTCACAGGTCCCTTTGACATTTTATGCTTTTGTAACACTCAAGTGGAATACTGCTTAGAAGTAATTACTGTATGTTTAGTGTCCTGATAAATCATACATTGTTTACAAAACTCAGACAATTTGTCTACTCATTTTTCACCTGGACAGGTTAAGTGACATTTATGAGAATAAGTCTGCAAAAAATAATTGTCATATGCAAGCTTCTTTTTCAGCCTCCCATGGTTTGTGGATATCGTAACCTCTTCTCTGCGTACTTGTCCAACCTCCATTAATATTGTGGAAAAACTTTTTATGTGAATTGTCCTTTTACACAGAGTTCTGTAGGTGTGTGTTGTTCTGTGTCCTTTTGTTTTGCTCTGGACCTGGCTCTTAACAGCTCCATTGAATGGCTCCAAGTTCCTGCCTGGCCTCTCTGTGCCGGTTGTGATTTTGTAGACCTCAGTCACACTTTGCCTATGTGGTTACCTTTTCAGGTTGGAAAAGTCACAGCCTACTTGATCAGAAGTTGTCCATAGCTCTGATCATTCCTTTTGTCTTGCTGTAAGCCTTTTTCAATTATACTATTTCCTCTTAGTGATAAGTGATCAGAACTACACTTGAGGTATAGGGGTGACATTCCGCTCTTCTGAGAATTGGTTGTTTAACAGCTCCTTTCTGTTTATGGTTAAGAATGATTTATCCATTTTGGGCCCTTCCTCTTATGCTATAGCTCCGTAGCTTTTTTAAAATCCTTTAGTGAGGTATTTTGACAGAACCCATTTGGAAATCCAGAGGCTGACAGCTGAGTCACCATTCTTCACAAGTTTCTGGACTCCTTTAGAGAGCACCCAAGAGGCTCCCTCTGCAGAAGCCATGTTACTTCTCTGGCAGACCTTCTGATTGTTGTCTACCTGTTTGGGCTTTTGATATATTCTGTTAAGTTGCTTGATACAAACATCAGGCTCACAGAACTAGAGTTCTTTGACTCCCCTTGGGAGTCCTTTTTATTTTTAGAGATTGCCATCTTTAAACCCCAGACATCAAAGTTTTGAAGGAGAGGTTAATAATTCATCTGATTCATTTTTGAGTTCTTAAATTTGTGGGTGAATATTTTTGAATATTTTGATAACAAGTTAGTAGGTTTTGTCTGTTTTCACAGTAGCCTCTTCCACAGTTATTTTGTTGATTACATCTAATTCTCTCTATTCATTATTGAGACTACAGTACATCTGTTACTAATTGGCAAATATACCATCTTTGCAAAAGTGGCGAAACAGGGATGGAGATATTTGGTGTTTCTCCTTTATTTGGAAATGTTCTAATACTAACTCCTTCTGTATATTCTGTAAGAGATGGAGATGCTGGGGATCTGCTGAGGACTGTATTAAAAAATTATATATGTGTAGATCCTTAGTTTTCTCATCTTTATATATAGATTTGGTTCTTGCCTCTGAATCACTAGTCATGTTATTGGTAAAAGAGGTAATTCAGTTACAAAACAGAACTTTGTGGAACTTTTCTTACTCATGCTGCCTGAGTGGTGACTAATCATTGCTTTTCAATGGTATTTTTAAATTTTAAGATCACATTAGGCTTCTGCGACTGCTCCCTATTACGTGCTTGTAAATGCCAGCTAAACCATAAGGGAAATGTTGGAGACAGTAGATTATTTTGAGAATGATGGACCCATTAGCTAGAACAATGAGCAATCTAATATACATGGAATAGCTGTAGGATATGCTCATTCATCAAATTGATAAATGTATTTACTTTCTAGTTACTGTAAGGCACCAAGCAGGAGAAGAAAATTTTCTTTCCCTTGTCTGAATCAAGCAGCTGTCAAATGAGTATGTTATGACAGAAACAATTTATTTTAGTAAATCAGTTTTTATACGATGCAATATGACATTATAGGTATAATTTCAATGATCCAGTCAGGTTTACTGTAATTAATCCTTAAATCTGCAATACCTGGTATTTCAGGTTTCTCTATCTAGTCTCTATATTCAGTGGAGTTTAAAATACAGATTAAATGCTCTTCTACTTTAAATCTGGGTATTGACGTGTCTTTACTACTTTGGTTTTTAGGTCATAGCTGATGTTATGTCTTTCTCCATTATTTGCTTCTAAGTATCTCAAAGACATAAACCAGCAAGGACACCAAGAGTCTTGGGCAGCAGCATTAATGAGATGCAAGTATGAGGAAAGTGCTAGTGAAGATGTAGTTAGTATCTGGTCTGGTGCAGGGACAATGTGATAAGTAAAGGCTGTTATGTAGCAAACCAATTGTTAAAGGGGGGGAATACTGTAAGAATAATACAGAAGATTATAAAACTGTGAAAAAGCAATGTTTGATGTTTTGGGGTAAAAGAAGACAGAAGTTAACACCAAAGCCAAGATTTAGATCTGCATCTAGTATTCCTTCTTTCTCCTCTGGAAGCAAGCTATACAGGTTTTTTTAAATGCTTGTTCTGTCATAGTATTGTGCCTCCTTTTTCCAAGGGGAAAGTAAGTTACAGAGTGAAGGTCATGTGTCTTTTGGTGTCTTGGAAATACTTGACTTTCTGTTCTTTACAGAGTTGAAGAGTCCTTGTAAAACCGCTAATTCTTCTACATGTTTTATGAAGTTTGGCAGCTTGTTAAATATTGTCACGCAATGCTCTTGTTTTCATGTTTTAGTCTTAAGTACCTGGTTCTGTTGGATGTTTGTTTATCTACATACTGACCTGAAAATACTTCTGACATAAAAAAAGGATTCTTAAATGTAGTTTCTCTCCTTTCTGCTGCAGGTCTGTTATGTCTAGCTTAAATTTTACAGTCTTTTTGCCATTTTCCTTTGTCTATTTGGTGAGTGTGTTCTTGATGAAGCCTTTTAGAGTGCACCTGAGAGTTGGCAAAAGGAGATGAAATCAGTAGTGAGGAGAACTTCTTCACACTTTCTGCAAGCTCTAGCTGTGTCTGTTGGCTGTTAGATGCTGGCACTGTTTGCATTTATTTGTGGGGCTTAAAAAAATAGAATATTTTGCCATATGCTTTTGCAGTGAAAGGAGGAGGAATGAGGCATCCTTGGAAAGGCATGTTTTTGCTGTTTTCTGATCTATATTGCAATTCTAGAACAAGATGAATAATTTATTTTCTCCAACTTGGTATTCAAGTTGTCCCACTTTTCAGTGTTGCATTTTTGTAGTCTAAAATGATATATAATGTAATATATTTATATATTACAATAGTCTCTTGTAATATATTTAAAATTTTATTTCCTCAGCATGTTAGAATGACTTTGTCAGATAGGTAAACACCTGTTTTATACAGTTGGTTTCTAATTTTAATTTTTCTGCCTGTATTTTATTTTGCTCACTCCTTAGCAACATGTGACATTTGTGCACATTTTCAGTACAGCAACTTTAAGATAAGTCATTCCACCTTTCCAAATGCTTGAAAAATAAATATTTGTAGTTTTGGGATGGCTAGCCAAACCCAAACCCACACAAATTAACTTTCTAGCTTGTCTTTTAGTTTGTAACATTCGATTCTATAAGTTCTCCTTTATCAAAACTAGATTAATTGATACTGCAATGCAAACTAACTTGATTAAATGTCTTAATTTCATGCTTTCTCTATAATATTCCCATCATAATAAGAGTTAAGAAAATGGTGTGTGTCTTTACATGACGAAGTTGCCTTTTCCATAAAAATTAATGCTTAATATGTCTGCTTAGTGTCTTGCATTGATCAGTCTTTTAACTAGTTATTCGGGAG